ATTAGTTTAGTCGGCCGTACCATCACCATCATTCTTTCTTTCTTCACAAAATTATATGCATATTTTATATTTCATTTTTCTGTTAAAAAAACATAATGCTGTAAATATAATAAACTATTCTAATCATTTTTTATTCGATTTATTTAAAAAATACTTTTATATAATAATATTTAAAAAAAGATGATCATTTATAAAAAAAAGTTGAAAAGTTATATTAAATATATAATTTATCCTAAATTAACTTTGACAAAAAAATATATATATATTATATATATTTTTTTTTTGTGGACCCTCTAACATCCTCTTGCAGCCCCCAGTTTGAATAACGTTATCAAGTTTCAGCATTATCAAGCAGTACTTCCCAAGTTCTCTGTGGTTAGAGAGTCTGACTGTGAGGAACCGCAGTCTGAGGACACTTTCCGGGTCCCTTGTGAAGCGACTGAGATCAGAGCTCGGAATTAGCCCCTCTCAGAGCTCACAGGGTGAAAGGTCAAACTCTGACTCTCATTGCAGATAAAGAAGTCTTTTCATGTGTTGGCCCCGCAGACCAAACACACAAACGGACTCTGAGTCGCTTTGAACTCAAGCCTGCGCTGCTGACAGCCGCGTGAGGAAACCTTTCCTGTCAACACATCCTCTCCATTTGGAGTCAGAAAACTCATGTAAACGTTCATGCGCGCACACACACACACACACACACAATTCAATGTTTTACTGTAAAAGAAGTGATGAAGCTTGTGACAGGAACTGTTTTGTCATGCCCAACAGCTTGGATTGTGTATAAGACTACGTGAGCTACTGCATTCTGACCTTTTCTGTCACTCTAGATGTTAGAACAAACAAAAAGTGACGGTGTTTCTAGTCCTAGTCCTGTCTTTCTCAGTTGTTTTGTTTTGAAAGGAGAATACTCAAGTTAGCAGAGTGCATGGCTTTTTTTTCTTAAGCCACTTTTCACTGTATTTAATTAACCACAGCCTGGAAGTCATTCACTTTTAGTGGAGAGTTGTACGGGAGATGCGTAGAGTTCAGATCATATTCTTATGCAGAATTTTCAGGCCCAATTTGGGCTTTGATTTGAACTTTTCGCTAGATTGTATGTGACCACCAGACTAGATGTCATGTATTTCAATCAAAATTGTTAGCACAAGGTGTGAATTACCAATATTTTCCCCCTAACACTATTTCTGTAAAATGGGTGGTTATGAATAACTGAAATAATTGTTTTATGATTATTACATAATTATTTAGATTATTTAGCTGATTATCCATAGAAAAGCTACTATGTTTTTCTTTCAAACATATTGGTGGTCATTTATTTAGTGTGCGTATAATCATACTTTCATCATTCATTCATTTTAACCTGGTGAATAAGCGGAGATAACGGCTGCCACTAGGTGGCAAAATGCAGACGAGTCATACGTGAATGTCGGAAATAGTAAAAAAAGTCGGTTTTAACGATGAAGTGTTTAATTCCTTTACAGATCTGCTCAGTTTCCAAACATTACTTCTGCCTTTTCCATGCAGTCATCCACCATTATTCAGATGCCATAACTACACCATTATGTGGCTTTTTTTTTATTTGGCAAAAATCTCATTTTGTTATAATAGACGTGTTTATTGTTTTGTTTAGTTTTCTTAAGCTTAAAAGCTTGTAGTGGGGAAATATATTTATTGTCTGCTTTTCAGAAAGAAAAAACAGCCTAGAAGAGTTGATACTTTTGCATTCTCACGGTGCCATCAGCCTATCGGGATTGTTATGATGTAATTTTGACATGACGGTTGGCTCGAACAAACGGCAACCCTTTGAAGATGTTTACTTTACCAGAAAGAATTTGTTTGGCAGGAATAAGGTAGAAGACCTTTTCCAGTTGCTCTTTTTGCAGTCTTTAATATGCTTCTATTTAGGGCTGCACGATAAATCACATGCGATATTTAACGTGCATCTTATCAGTAAAGCCGGTTCTGTAATCAGCGGTAAATCTCCATCACGTGCGTGCTTTCACATTGAGCAGCATTAACTACACAGAGCCGTTGTTCACTGACGAGCTGCGCAAAACCACGTTCATATTCGCGCGATTTTTTGTGCAGCTCGTCAGTGAACAACGGCTCTGTGTAGTTAATGCTGCTCAATGTGAAAGCACGCACGTGATGGAGATTTACTGCTGATTACAGAACCGGCTTTCTGACAAGATGCACGTTAAATATCGCATGCGATTTATCGTGCAGCCCTACTTCTATTCAACAATAACTCTGAACTACACTTATTACTTGTGTGCTTTCTCCAAGAGGCCTATAGGATTCATGTTAATTCTGGACTGGAAGGGAAATTTTGGGCTATTTGTTGCTTTTTTATTGCAAGGAAAGTGGCAAGGAAGTAAAAACTCGTCATTCGAGTTGGGCAGACTCTCATAAGTTTGTCTCTGAGCATGTGCACTTTGACCTGAAAAGAGGAAATGAGGAAGTTTGAAGGCTTCCCTGATCAGGGAGTCAGCTTGTGTCAGCAGTCATGTGGGGATGTGTGAGTGTGAGTGTGTACAGTCTGGATGTATATATAGAATTCTGTTTTAAGCCCCTGGTTGCTTTTTAATTGAAGGCAGAGATAATAATAGCAGGTTTTAAAATTATCCTGGCCCATATGACAATTCTTAGGCGGCAGTAAATCCATTCATGCAGCCATTCATACACACACAAACTTGTGCCATCTTGCTCCCAGGCATCTGTTCTCACTGTTTGTTTCAACATGTTTTTTTATTATTATAAAGTGAAAAATCCACTTAACCTTCAAACGCAGCTAAATATCCATGTTGACTAAACAACTACAAGGGAGACTTATTATTGCGAGAACACTGTGAGTGCTGCTGGATGACACACTCAAGTACAGAGACACTTCAGCAGGTGTTTCCCTGCAGGTGAAGATGCTTTAGGTCTATAAGCGACATTTGGCGTCAGCGGTTTGTGAACGAGAACACATAATCAGGCTCTGTCAGGCTGCAGAAAGGGGCTCTGCCCAGCTGTATATGTGGATGACATGCTACATGTTGTTTAGGGGAAACCCAACGACGGTTGAGGTGAGGTTTGCTTATTCTGTCCAGGCGGCTCTTTAGCTTCAGGGTTCCCATCATGGTCCTGAAACCTAGCAATATCAGGGAACTTCAAAAGTGTGATTTCCATGCCTGAAAAAGAAATTAACAGTGTCTTAAAGGGGTGGTTCATTGCGATTTCACTTTTTTAACGTTAGTTAGTGTGTAATGTTGCTGTTTGAGCATAAACAATATCTGCAAAGTTACGAAGCTGAAAGTTCAGTTTTTTTAGAATTCTGGCAGTTTAATGCCTACAAAAACGGCTGGTAGGGACGATACTCCTCAATAATATCCTCTGCTTCTCAATCGGGCTCAAACTGATAAGAGATATTAACGACGCCGTTGTTTACAATACAACCGGAGCACATGCTGCTGAGGAGAGGGGCGGGACGCTTAGATGTGCACTAGAGGCGGTTTAGCCAATCACAACACACTGGGCTAGCTAACCAATCAGAGCCCATCGCCTATTTCTGAGGGAGGGGCTTCATAAAAGCAGGAAATTGATCAGCGCGTTTCTAAGATGAGAGGGGACAGAGCATTGTGGAATAAAGGTAAATTATGTGAAAAATAATGCGTTTTTTTAAAAACGAAGCATTAACACATGTTAGACTGCACCCCATAAACACAATCAAGCCTAGAAAAAAAAAAAACACTGAACCACCCCTTTAAAAAAGTAATGGAAAATTATTTTATTCTAGTTTATGATTAGTTTTGAAGTATGTATTAAGCTAAAAATTACTATTTTTGAGTCCAGTCTTTAAAAATGTATTTGCAAAAATCCTGAAAAAACAATGGAAATTTACTGACAAGAGAGTGTGGGAACCCTAAAGTTTTGAAAGGCTTGAAATTCACCCTTCATTTGCTTAAATGTAGGGGTAAGTGAGTAAGTGACACAATAATCACAGACCGCAAGATATTTGACAGGCTCAATGGTAAAGGCTTTGTGTTTGAAATTATGAAGAAAAATTATTAAGAATAATAATCTTTAATCAAGATTTTTTTTTTCTTCATAAAATTACAGGAGCAGGTAGCAGAAGCATATAATTGAAATTCCGTTGGATTTTGTTGGGCTCTTTAATTGTATAAAATTAAATAATTAATTATGTAAATATTGATACACTGCTGTTTACAATTTGGGGCCAGTAAGATTTTTTAATTTTTTGAAAGAAATGAATAATTTTTATTCAGCAAGGATACACTGAATTGATCAAAAGTGACAGTTTAGATATTAACAAATTTATGAAAGAATTCTGTTTTTAAAAACTGCCGTTCTTTTGAACTTTCTAGTCATTAAAGAAAAAAAATATTAAGCAGTACAACTGTTTTCAACATTGATAATAATCACGGTTTCATTTCTGAGCACCAAATCAGCGTATTAGAATGATTTCTGAAAGATCACGTGACACTGAAGACTGGAGTAATGACTGCTGAATTCAGCTTTGTAATCACAGAAATAAATTACATTTTAAAATATATTAGAATAGAAAACAGTTGTTTTAAACTGTAGTAATATTTCACAATATTACTGTTTTATTGTAACATTGAATAAAAACAAATGCAGCCTTGGTGAGCATAATATACTTTTCAAAAACATAAAAATAATTTTACCAAGCCTAAACTGTTAAACGGTTGTGTATATGTGATGCATTGCAATTCATTTGATGAGTTAACCAACATATGTAATACATTTTTAGTATATTTAGCAAATATAAAAAATAAATTTGTGCTATACTATTGTAAGAAGCCCATTTGTCTGTTTTTCTGTCTTTTGTTCTAAATGACTTTGATCTAGATACATGTAATACGTAATTTAATTGTGATCCACCCCCCAACAGAAAATGTTTCAATCGATTGACTACCCTAATACTTAGGTGTCACACCAGTTTTGTTTTTAAGTTCCGTCTCTCTTTTCTTTCACAGAATTCATCACAAGACCATCATCATCTTCATCACCAAATTTTTTCCAGGGGGGTTTGGATATCGGAAAAGACACCTGTCGGATGACATGCACCCTGAGCAGACCATGATCTGAAGGCCCTACCAGGAGGCCACATACTTTCTTTCTTCCTTCCCTCCTTCCTGTTTTTATCAGTGGAGGAAGACGGGTGAGCCCAGCTGCCTCCGACAGGTGGCATACGGAGAGAGAGAGAGAGAGAGAGAGAGAGAGAGAGAGAGAGACTCTCTCACACACACATCTTCATACACAGAGGCGACTAGTCGCTGTTTGTGCTCCTGTAACTGCCTCAAGAAATTTTGACCTCTGACCTCACCACACCCCCAACCTTGCCCCCACCCCTGCTCAGCCAATCACAGCAGCCATGGGGAGGAAAAAGATCCAGATTCAGCGAATTACAGACGAGCGTAACAGACAGGTGAGTGCAAAGCCTGACTGTCTGCCGCATCAGTGTTTTTAGTTGATCATATGAGAATTATTTTCAGTTTTGAATACGTAACTGAAAATAATTCATTTCGTCAGCTTTCTCTGGAATATACACAGGATTTGAACTGAAATCATTCTTATTAGGTCTGACTCTTGTGAGTTGCCTTAAGTTACATCTGTAATTTAGACATCTTGTACAGGGCAAAACAGTGTGAGGCAAAATCAAATCTTACTCCTCCAGTGCAAGGTTTCTGTTGATTTATAGCTGAGGTGTGGATTTTTTTTATCTTTAAGTACTTTTTCCTATCCCAGTTTAATAAGCAGAGACAACTACAAGTTAACTACTGATAGGTTTTCTTCCCTTAGGGTGCAAACACTGGTGCTTTCAAAGCATTGCTGTTTGTTTGAGTGGTGCAGTTTTTCAATTTCTGTCTCAACTGATGCAGCAGGATTTTGTTCCGTTTTCATTACTTTTTACATATAACTGTTACTTTTAGTTTCTTTGAGCTTTAGTATTAGTTTTATTCAGAAATGTGCAATAAATTGGTACCATATTGGTTATTGCCTGATTTTTTTAAAATTAATTAATCATTATGTGTCGGACTATACTGGATACATAATTATAATGTAATTTTTAGAAAATCAAATATCTATTTTTTATACGGTACATTCTAATTTTGTGATACCTACATTCAATTCTAACTGATTTTAATCTTTATTTTGAATTTATTTAGAAAAATTTATATGTTATAGCGGCCAATGATATCAGTTTTCAGCCATAACATGAAAATAATTATCATCTTATCTGCTAAATATTTAATGTTGTGCATCACTAGTTTGTTTTAGTCTTTGAGTACATTTAATTTTTATTTAATTTTAGTATTTTAGGGCTGCCATAGGTAATGCGTTACCTTATCTAATTTAAATATGAATAACTGCATCAAATTTCTCAGAGCTGTCTAGTGTCATCCTGTGGCATTTCATGTTGTTGTTGTTGTTTTTTTAATTTATGTATTGATTTATTTTTTAGCTCATTCTTTATTAGAAACTGTGTCCTAGGCTAGCAGATATACACCAAGAATAGCCAACAGTGGTGCAAATAAACGAAACAGTAAACAGAGATTAAAAATGTTAAAAAATGTAAAACAAAAAATTTTATAAAATAAATAAATAAATTAATTAATTAACAATTTTTTTAATTAAGTATAAATAAGTATAAATGAGTATAATTTAGTATAAATTAAAGGATAAAACAGATATTTAAATTTTTAAATCAAGCACAGAAACAGAAACAAATTATATAAATATACAGCATATAATAGTTTTTTGTGTAATTTTTGTTTGGGCAGTTTTTATTAACTATACAAACACTGCAATGTTTGACTTGTTTAGATTAATACATAAGAAGAAGTGTTCATTTTTGCTATTTTGTTATATTCACCTAAGTGGTGTTCACCTAAGGTTCATTTCTGTTCTCTCGGCTCCCCATGTTCCACTATAGGTAAACCTTTCATATAAAACCTGTTAAATCACAAACTTCATAACAGTATCCTATTGAAAGCTTTTAAAGTAATTATGGTGTTTAGTTTAGAGTTAGAAATTCCACTCACTAGTGTGTAATCTCTTAGATGGATGGCTGTGAATGTATGGGAAATGTTTTTCTGGTCACAGTTGTGCTGATAGGTGTAGTCACTCTGACCGGAGCAGGTGTGCATACTCAACCTTAGCCTGCTTCGCTGTGTCAGCGCTCTCTGTCTCCCTCAGGTGTGCCTGACTAATCATATTTTTAACAAAGTTACAAAAAAAGTCGTGTAGTTTGTCTGACCCAGATTAAGCCTCAATTTGTGCTAAATATCACTTTTAATTGAGATTTCCTCTAGAAAACCATTCTGCTCTGTACATCTTGTCCTTCCGACCTTCCTGTGGTGTAACAGGTATTTGGGCAATTAAAGAATTAAAGAGTATGAGAAGAGGACATGAACTACAGTCTTTGCTGCAATAAAATGTGCATTTTAATTACCAAACTCCAGCATTGAGGCAAGCAAAGAAGAGAGGTGTAGAAGAACAGAGGCATCCGGAACTGACAGACAGCAGCAGGTGAGAGAGCGAGGTTGAGTCCGCGTGTGCGGTGAAGGTCAGTAGGTAAGCATTCGGCCGTGAGGTTAATTGGATCTCGAGAGAGAAGTGGAAAGAAGTCAGGTCGCTGCCTCTCAACATTCTTCACAATGATAAAGTTGTATTCTCCTGTTGCCATTGGTTACCTGCGATTTCTATTTTCGATGGCAATTATGTTGCTGGTGTTTATCCTGGTGCTAGTGTGAAGAGAAGGAACATCAGCTCCTTGATTGTTGAGGTGGAGGAGATTCTTTCATTTAATGGAAAAGGGCTTTTATTTACAGAGATGCAATCACTGTCTGCTAACACTGTCGAGCTCTTAAGGTTAAGGAGTCCTGGGTTTGAGCAGAAAAACTTTCTTTCTTGAGGTGGCACTTTTGCTAGCAGTGAGCAAGAAAGTGGTAGAAAGCCGGTCAATTCTGAGAGAGAAGAATCGGCTCTTCAGCGGCTAATACCTAGTCAACCTCTGTGCACTGCAAAAATTCCCATAGGAGTAATTCACGAAACATTTTAAAAATCCTGTCACTATTTTTTTCAGCCTCATGTGGTTCTAAACCTTTATGACTTTCTTTTCTTCTGTTGAATTCCAAAAGAAGATGTTTTGAAGAATGTAGTTGGTCTTTTAGCTGGTTCATCTTCACCTTTCTATGACAATGAATGGGCACTGGATCTTTCACGCTTTGAAAATAACACAAAAGCACCATAGTGCAAATTTTGACTTTGTATTCCGAAGTTATCTAACATCCTTAAAGGGGTGGTTCATTGCGATTTAAATTTTTTTACGTGGAATAAAGGTAAATTATGTGAAAAATAATGCGTTTTTTTTAAACGAAGCATTAACACATTTTATACTGCACCCCATAAACACAATCAAGCCTTGAAAAAAACCAGTCAACCACCCCTTTAAAATAAGACAAATTTACCTAAGAAGCAAAATTGCATTAGATATAGTTCTCATCTCTTCACTCATCCTTGTCTAACCTTGTCTTCCTCTTTTTCTTAATGTTTAACAACATTTTTCTTCTTGTTTAATGGCATTTTTAATGGCAATTTATTGGCCAAATTTGCATGTGTATCTTCCCAGACAGTGAAATTGTTAGGCTAACTGTTAAGCAAACTCTAAATGGCTCAGCACATGTCAAGATTGTCTTAAATTTCAGTATATCCCTTTAAATATCATATATCTTATCATATTACTTTAAGATAACATGTTTATGATATAATAATAGTGCTTTTGCATCTTTTTTGAATCTTGAAAGCTCTAATCCTCATTTGTAATTTTATTTAAATTGAACATCAAAATAGATTCTTCAGAATATCTTCTTATGAGTTTCACACAGGAAAGAAAGACATTCATGTTTGGAACAACATGAATGTGCGTAATTGGTTGTTTTAAGCAGACTATAACTTTAGGATCTTCTTTTGTTTCACTGCAAATAAAAACATGTAGTTTTCAGTTCTCATCCTTCATCTCAATCATCATCTTTTTCTCCCTCTCTAACCTCATCTTTCTCTCTCTATCCACAGGTGACCTTCACCAAACGGAAGTTTGGTCTGATGAAGAAAGCCTACGAGCTCAGTGTGTTGTGTGACTGTGAGATTGCCCTCATTATTTTCAATCACTCAAACAAGCTCTTCCAGTATGCCAGCACCGACATGGACAAAGTGCTCCTCAAATACACTGAGTACAATGAGCCGCACGAAAGCAGGACCAACGCAGACATCATTGAGGTAACACAGACATACAAGCCCACCGTGAATCCTCCCAATTTCAGGTTGCAGGAAATTGTTTTCTTTGTTTGTTGGTCTCATTCATCCTTTATTTGTTTGCTCCTTCTCTTCACTCCTTCCTTCCTGTCTTTGGTGAACCGTGTTAATTCGGTTGCAGTAGTTCAGTCAATAGCCCTATTTGGTCGGGACAAGTTTTCCCTGAGGAGGCCAGGTAAATTTGTGTGTTTTTCCTCACAAAAACCTTGTTAAAACCGCAGAGCAAATTACCTACTGTTTTCCTCCTAACACACAAGTCCTCTGAGAAGGATCCCGTCCAAATAGGAATGTCTGTAATTGCAATGATTTGTTTTCATGATGCTTCTCCTCATTTATTTTGACATTTATCGAATACTGTAACTAAAGCTAAATTTGTTGTTTCATTACATAGTGAACTTTCATTATGGATTCAGACCATGCTAATACCATGCTAATTTGACTTTTGACTAATTTGATTTGATTTATATATTGCTTTATTTACATGGTACTCCAAGGTACTTCTAAGAATATTATGGTATTACCATGTTACCGTATCCAAAATACGCCCTGGTTATACCATAGTGACAGTGTAAATCCACAACACTGCAAGTTCTTCATGAAATGGCAAGGCTTTTGCATAGCTAAACACTCATCCATAGGGAGGCCGAGCACATGTGAGAGAAAGAGTGTGTGTGCACGTCTAGAGAGCATGAAGGGTTGTTCAGAGGCTCGTGGATCTCTATACGCTGCTGGCTAACTGCCTGGACGATGGTGGGACAGGAGAGGTAGGGACAGCTGCACCCTCTACCACCTCCTGCCTTTGGCCAGAGAGGAAAAAGTGGCTTAACACACACACGGTGCCCATCCGGTGTCTGTCCCGTCCAACACAAGATGGCGACTGCATGTGTGTGGCATGTTGTTCTGGGACGCGTAACATTAACTCGGAAAGAACAGCAGCAGTGGAAGAGTGTCTCAGGTAGTATAGCTTAAACATTATATAAATTAAAAGGATAGTTTACTCAAAAATGAAAATTCTGTCATTTACTCTCCCTCATGGTATTTTGAACCTGTATGCTGTTTTATTTTTCTTCTTCATGCACCTTAATGCAGCTGTTTCCCATAATGAGTAGTCCAATGCAATTTATGAATTGGACCAAGCGGTTCATTGAAAAGAACGGCTCAAACAAGTGATTCACATGCAAATTGAACTGGTTTGGTTCTTAAGTTCAACTCACTGACTCAATGATTTGGATATTTTGGTCCTCGAGTTAACAGCTCACTGGAAAAGAAGATTATTAGTGAACAACAACTTATAGTTAGGTCTTTTACTCACACAGAACTATCATATAACCTCACCGGAAGAGTTAAAGAGTGTCTCAGATCATATAGTTTGAATGCTGCCCGAATTAAAAAGAGAGTTCACCCAAAAATAAAAAATTCTGTCATTATTTACTCAACCTCATATCCGTATTCCTAACTCATATGTTATTTTTTTCTTGTCTTGATGCACCTTAATGCAGCTGTTTTCCATAATGAATCATTCAGTGCAACTTGTGAACCGGATCAAGCATTTAATTGAATAGAACCAGCTCAAAAGAATGATTTGTTTCCAAACTGGATAGAACTGGTACTCAAGTTCAACTCAGTGATTTAGTTGCTTTGGTTCTCTGGCTTACTAGAGGTAGAGATTACAGTGAATAACAACTTAAATTTGGGTCTTTTACTCACTCAAAACTATCATGACTTAAGAAGATCCAGGATGTAGTGCACAAGTCACACGAGTCCAATTTGTTGTCGCTATGAACTTGTTCACTGTGAACTATGAACAAATACTTTAAAAATAACTGAATGTTGATTGAAACTACGTGATGGTGGGTAAATCATAACAGAATTGTAATTTCTGGGTGAACTGTTCCTTTAAAACTTCAAATGTGTGTGTGTACAGAAGAAAGTAAAGCATTTATTTCAAGATTAATTTTTCAAGATTAGATGGTCATTCCGTGCAGTTTAAAATGCAGTCATCAGAGGGTGAATACTTCTGTAGAGTGTGTGATGTTGAGAAACTGATGACTCTTTTGCAGAAGCCCCCAGTGGTACAGGTGCATGTTTCCTGTTGGGTGCAGCTGCAGAAATCTCTTGAGAGAGAGAGAGTGTGTGTGTGTGTGTGCGTGCGTGCGCACACTGTGGTGAGGGCGTTAGGCCGCTGTGGGCCACATCAGCTCAAGCCTGACTGGGCTGCTTTGTGTGTGTTAAGGCTGAAGGCTGTCTCATGCAATATTGAGAGGCAGAGTGACAGTAGAGGCAGACCTGGTGCTGAGTTCCCATTGTTTGGCCTGATGTTTTTGGGGGCAGTACCATTCAGAAGGCCCTTCCTGTGGCTCATGCCCAATTAAAAACACGTCTTCTCTGCTTTACCTGGTTATTTGACTTTAAGAGACCAGAAAGAGAGACATGCAGGCAAAAAGAGACCGTTCAATGAAGTGAGGGAGATTTGATGTTTCTAAATTATGAAGTGGCTTACATATTTACCCAGAGAAAAACACTCATTCACCTTACAGCTCACTGTATACACACACACACACACACATATTCAGGCAGGCATGCTTTCACACTGATGCATGACTGAACAGATGCATATTATGTACTCACATAGTCTCTCTTCTTCTCTCTTGCTACATCTCTCTCTCTTTGCTCTCATCTCCTCGCTCGCCTCGTGTTGCACGTGCCTAGTGTGTGTATGTGTGTGTGCGTGTGTGTGTGATTGTATGGGGGCTGCCTGCCTTTTCTGCCAGAGCTTGTTAATCTGCTTGACTGCAGATCCCAATCAGGAGAGAGACAGAGAGAGGGAGAAAGAGACAGAGAGATGAAGAGTGGGTGTTTAAGGATGAAGATCCTGTAGATATCATTTGGGATTTAAAGGAGGTGGTAAGAAGAGAAACACAACCTTTTTCATAAGCAGCTCAGATGAAGAGGCCGTGGGGACTTAAAAACATCAAATATATATTTTTTAATTTTCTTAATAAATGGTTGGCGTGATTCATCTATCCTCAGCTTTCTTATGAAAAATATGATAATCTTTCATCAAAATGTAACAACTTTCTCTGCTTCTGAAACAATGTTTATTTTGCTGACATAACCAAGGTCATGTGGGCGAAGAAAATAATAGTATTAATATTTTCATAATCCATTTTTCACAATCCAATCAAATCCCACTAGATAAAATCAAGTGCCGCCTTCCTGAATATTCTGTTTTTCTTGGAAATACATCAAACTGGGGACAATTAAAGGGACGGTTTACTCAAAAATGAAAAATCCGTCGTCATTTGTTTTAAACCTATATGACATTTTTTGCAACACAAATTTTTTTTTATTTTTGTGTTCATTTCATGTCATTTCTTTTCAAAATACTGACAGTCAATAGTGATTGACCTCAAATAAAGCACTATTAAACTAGTCCATTCAGCTATTTGTCTTATTTTCTACGAAAAGATTCAAATTAAGATTCAAACAGGTCAGGCAGCATAACTTATTGGGTTATATAGGGCCTGATATACATGGCATCTCTGATGAATGTTGATTTCCATATTGAGCTGGAAAGTTAAGTGTTGAAAACATTGGCTAGTTTTGTCACAACAATGCCAATACCAGTGAAATTTCACAATTCTCAAAGTTAAGTTTGAGATCATAGCAAAAATTAATATGCTATTTAACAGTGCTTTATTTTTAAAAAGTTGCTATTATTATTATTATAAATATTAACAAATTAATATTTGACATATTTGTCAATTAAGTAAGTTAAATTTAAAAGTTTTAATTAATTACAATTTTTAAATGAAGTTTTATTCAAACAAACAGTAATAAAGAACAAATAAATAAAGTAAGCACAGTAAGTGGCTTTCTCTTTTTATTATCAGCATTACTGTTTAATTATTATAAATGACATAATAGACAGTGGCAAAAACCTGCTGTGTTTACTTTGATGCCATGCCAAGCTGGCATTTTGACCAGGAAGTGTATATTTATGAGTGTTCAGAAGTAACCACCTGTCACCAGACAGCTTTTAGGTACAAAATTGAATAGTCTGTAGTAGTGCTGGGCGTTATACCGGTTCATACCGAATACCGGTGTTTATTTTTGTTATGATATGAATTTTTAAAATACCGCAATACCGCGAGTATGTCGCTTAAACAACGTTCGGAACGCGACACTGTATGTGTTACTAAGCGTGAAAGTTCCGAAACTGAAGCTGTAGAACTAATAGAACATGATGACACAGAAGAACTCGCACTAGCGGCTTTTTTCCATAGAATATTCATACTGACAAACCTAGCGACTTTTTCAGATAAACCTTAGCTATGGTTCAGTTGGAAGATTTCGCCAGTGCTGTCCCGCGAGCGCGAGGTCGGACTTTCCTGGAGAAGTGTCACCTCTCTCGGCGTCTGTTCTGTGCAGTTAGCGGCAGAGAAGCAGCGCATTCAGTTGGCCGCACCGCAGCCGACTCGTCAATAAATGAGTACAAAACAGCGTTTCCTAGCACCTGTCGCTTACTGATTGTTTGGAATTATAAATATGAGGGTTAACACCCGGTCATGCATGAAAAAAAATACCGTCATGTACCGCGAAACCGGTATAATTTTGGAAAATACCGTGATATACATTTTTGGTCATACCGCCCAGCACTAGTCTATAGTACTAATGCTACAGAAATAATTTAATTTAATTTGAGTATCAAGTCGGCACCACCAGCACTTTTGACATGCCTGATAGCAGCAGTTCCTTTCAAGTGTGACCACTAGCGTTAGATTGTCGAGATGAAATGACTGTGAACTCTTAACCTCTGTCTGTAAGAGATGAGAAATCTGTGTGTGCTGGACATTGGCTAAGCCCTCTTCGATATCGAGATGATGTACTTCAGCTTATTCTCTCAGATCCGCCTCCACAGTGGGCTGAACCGTGGGCTATCAGCCCAGATCAGCTGCTGAAATGACTCCATTAGCCTCATGTATGAGTTATAGTCAGACTCGCCTGATAATGGCAGACACGCTGCCTTTAAAGGAGGAATTGAGATGGAAGGATGAAGAGGAGGAGGTGTGGAGGGTTTGGAGGGGCCGCTAATCTGTCAGATGGGTGTTTCTGGACGCTGTCGTCTGTGTAAGCCGGCAGGCTGTGGCGAAGCCGAGGCTTTAAGCGTGTTCTCAAGGGATGGCCGGGGGGTTGCAGCCTTCTCTGCTTTACACACTGCAAATGGAAGGTGACATTGCATTCTCCCTGCGTTAGACATCAGCACCCACTTGAGAAATGGAGTTATGTGTGTGTTTTAAGACCATAAACCACCATAGACCCCTCATTTTCAGATCAATGTCTTTTTCAATTGCAGATTCTTAAACTTTAACTTTGGCCCCTCTCAAATCTTTGCTAACATCCCACATAGAAAGTGGGAGTTTGAAAAGAGGATATGGGATGGAGAGAGGAGGGGAATAGAGGACAGAAATGAGTCAGCTCAGTAAGTCGTGGAAGAATGAGAGCATTACTGGATTAGAAAAGAGACTCAAAGATACAGTGTAAAAAACCATTCAGAAACATTAGAAGAAAGAAAGTGAAGGTCGAGGGGTAACAGATGAAATAATGTGAAGACAGGGAGGGGAAGCTAGAGAGAGGGACCGTACGGAGGGAGGGAAGAAGGCGGTTGCAGGGGGAGGGGCGCTACTGAACGAGGTTAACCAGTCAGAGGCAGCGGAGCTCTGCAGGGGAATCTTCCCTTGGCAACACAAACACGCACCCGCCCCATAAAGGAGAGACAGCAGGCAGAGAAATACAGGGACAGGTGAACAGATGGCGCCAACTCAGAGACAGGCTGATCAGCTGACCAACTCCTCCCTGTGTGTGTGCGAGAGAGAGTGTATGAACGATCGAGCTAGTTCAAATGTTTGCAATGTATTTTTTTTTTCATTATTCATCAAATCTATAAATTAGTAGCATTGCTTGCTAAGGCTGATTGCTAATGCTCATACTTGGGGTTAGGAATTTCTACAGCCCCTATTTGCTTAAAGGGGTCCTATTATGCTCTTTTACAAAGTCTTGATTTTGTTTTGGGGGTGTACTAGAACATGATCTCATGCTTGGTGGTTCGAAAAACACATTATTTTTCACATAATTTACATTATTAAAATACCTTTCTCCCCAGCCTGGCACAAACGGCTCGATTAGTTCTGGGTTTTAATGAAGGCCCGCCTTTCGAAAAAAACGAAATGTGTTGTGATTGGTTAGCTGTCCCAGTGCGCTGTGATTGGCGAACAGCTTAGACAGTGTTTCAGTACTGCCACGCCCCTTGCTCCATCTTTCAACAAAAGCTTTTGGGCGAATCCGGCACTGTACTCCCTCGTGTTGTGGAAGCTGTCCTCAGTAAAATGCGCAGCACACAATAGCAAATTGGGGTTATAATGCTCTTTTAAAAAACGAAATATCTCCCTTTGGAGTGGACTTTGAGATTTGTAACTTTCTAGATCTTTTTTATGCCCAAACATACACACTACACACTGACTAAAATTAAAAAAGTGAAAAAGCATAATAGGACCCCTTTAATATTTCATTTCAATGCTTGATTTGTGGCTTCACAAAAGCCTCCAATTGTACAGCATCTTGTGGAGAGGTGTGTTTGTTAAATTTCTAAGTGATTATACTTTTTTCCACACAGAACACCTTAGCAACTGCATAGCAACAGCTTGACAACACCCTTCACCACTTGCATTTTAGTTCATTTAAATTAATTTACTAATGTAATGTAATATATTATAAAACTACAGTTCAAAAGTTTGGGATAAGTAAGATTCAGTAAGGATGCATTAAATCGATCAAAAGTGACAGTAAAGATATTTATGTTGTTACAAAAGATTTCCGTTTCAAATAAATGCTGTTATTTGTCTATTATTCAAAGTTTCCAAATCAGCATATTACAATGATTTCTAAAAAATCATGTGACAGTGAAGACTGGAGTAATGGCTGCTGAAAAATCAGTTTAGCAATCAATTGCATTTAAAAAAAAAATTAAAATAGAAAACAATTTTTAAAATTGTAATGATTTTTTACAATATGACTCTTTTATTGTATTTTATCATAAGATACTTTTTTGAAAAATATAACATCTTACTGACCCCAAACTTTAGAACGGTAGTGTATATGAAAAAAACAAATCTGGATTAAAAAATGTTTATGCTGTATTTTCTTTGCACACTTTTTTTATGTCATCATGACCTCTATGAAAAGGAAGAAAGCAGTGCTGAAAACTTTTTTCCATTCAGTCTCGATACCCCCATCAAAGCTACTTAGAGAAAATCTTGTTTGGAAAATCTTCTCAAAAAAAGTCTCAAGCTGTTTTCAGGCTGAAACCGATAAACTGAGTTTCTCTCGTTTTCAGCCTCGTATAACTTATTTCCAGCCCACGGTTGTCTAATGGCTGCGCAGTTTCAGTTTTCCAAGTCATGGTGTAAAATAGAATTTAGCCTCTTCACTTCCTCATGAAACAATCTGCTGATGTACAGTGTTCTTGGTTTATGTGTCACACATTACTTTGTAGGTTTAATAAATCAGTGCTGCTTCTTTCTGATTGACATTTGTGTTTCTAAATGTGAAATATGCTCCTCTCCCTTTCTTCTCCCATTCCAAATGCTTAAAGACGTTGAGAAAGAAAGGCTTTAACGGTTGCAACAGTCCAGAGCCAGATGGGGACGATTCAATAGACCAGAGTCCGTTACAGGAGGACAAATACCGCAAGAGCGAGGAGCTGGACATCCTCTTCAAACGCTACGGAGTGAGTATTCCTCTTTACCTTGTCGTTCTAACCTCCCTCCTTCTCTTTCTTCCCCTCTGTCTCTCTCTCCTATCCTCGGTCGGAAATAAATGAAGGCTCTGAACAAGAAAGAGCACCGGGATTCGGAGAGCCCAGACCCCGAGGAGCCGTTCTCCCTCACACCTCGCACAGAGGAGAAGTACAAAAAGATAGACGAGGAGTTTGATAAAATGATGCAGAGCTATAGGCTTTCAGTGAGTACCTGTGTGAAGAGGCCTGCTTTTGGCCCCGGCAAACCAACTCACACAGCCTGCTGTCGGCCCGGCAACCAACTCACAGAGCACCTAGCAACCATCTCTCACCCCATTCCCCTCCTACCACCCCTCAATCCCCTCAGAATGTGTGTGCTTGGGCCAGGAGAGGGCAGTCGGGGGCGAGAGGGCGAGTGTGGGCCGCATCCCTTTGATCCTCACAATCCACGCTTTCAAATGCGCCTGTGATTTATAGCTGGCTTGATTCTGCGTTCTGTTTTCTTATGTTCTTATGTTCTGCGTTGACTGATGCTTGTATCGTGTTTGCCAGGAATAGACTTGTGACTCATTTGGGTCCCGATTCAGGCGTCGGTGAAGATAATTTTCATTAAGGCACTGTCAAGAATGCTTTATGCATGAGCCTTGCATGAAGAATCTCCTCTCACAAGGTACAGAAACAAGAAAGTGCTGCTCCCTTTCTCAATGTATCGTGGGCCCAAGTTTGATATCATTTACATGGTGAACGTGATTCAACATGATGTGGGCAGCAGAGACTGATTAGTGTAGTAAGTTGCGTTCTCTTTTCTCTGTAATGCTAATGGGACTGGAAATTAGAAATTGCTTGGTAGCTGCATCCAAAAAGCATTTCGTCACCTGACGGAGGGCCAGTTTTCCTCTCTCTCGCCCCCCTCCCATTCTCCGCCCAGTGCACCGTTCACGGGCCGGAGCACAAAGAGAGTCATCCAGCACCTCTCTCTTCTCTCCCACATAATCCCAGCATGAGTGCCCGAGGAAGGAAAGCTAAAACCTTAATCCCTCTCACTGGGGACACCCAGCAGCATGTGCACTACAAGCCCTACTTAACAGGCTGGAAAATGATCAGTTTGTAATGAGTTTTTATATATTCACCACTAACTGTCTGACTTGGCTGTCATGGCAATTTCAGTGGATAAAGCTGGATTGTGAGGAAATTTACTTGAGATATTTTTTTTTCTTCTTCCTAGAAAAAATATTGCAAAACATGCTAATTTAAATTTGTTTTTTATTCTGGAATTGTTTTCAATTTCAACTTAAGTAAAAAAAGAGTAATATTTCAGTATTGTGCATCAAACAGGAATGCACTATACATCAGTGCTATATCAGTGATTATTATTTTTATATATTTTTTGTATTGGTTGATGTTGGATATACACTACCATTAAAAAGTTTGAAAATTCCATTACAGGAATAAATGACATTTTAAAATAAATATTGAAAATTAAATCTATTTATTGACCCTGAAAGATCATTCCTCATGTGCACTGTGATCTGCAGTAAGCTCCAAGCCAAAGGGACTTCATGTGAATATGATTTGCCAACTTGTTTCCCAAACCAGTCAGTCTTTCTCACTTCACTGGTCACGGTCTTCCTCAAAATCACACGGTCTTTCTTTTAGTACCAAGTGTCGTTCTTATCACAGTTGACTATCGCTTGTCTGTGTGTCTAGACTGATATAATCTTGAGTCTGTTGTATTTATCTTCAGTTGTTGAAGGCACATCAGAAGTGTAAGATTGCATTTTATGGCTGAGAAATTGGAGACTAGCAAACTAGATTATTTCTGTCTTGGTGCTCCATATTTTAAAACCAGCTGCTCATCTCACACTAATGACCCTCCCCTCCCTTCACCCTGCCTGGCCTGCATGCAGTGCTGGAACTTCGCCCACGGTCTTATCCTATAGCATATGCTACAATGGGTTACTCCCTCCAAAACTGTAGCTTGGATATGTTTAACCTGGAATATTCATTTAAAGCAGCTTTGGCATCAGTAGAATCTCATTAGAAGTCATTTCTGCGAAAACAACAGTGTTTATAGGAAACGTAAACCCATATTCGGCTATAACAACAAAGCTGTCTGTTGAAACTAACTCTTAAAACGAAACGTTCCTTAATAGCGTCTATATTCCATGAACCTTTAACATCCATGGAACCTTTCCATTGCACAAAAGCTTCTTTATATGAAAAAGAGTTCTTTAGGTTATTAAAATGTTCTTCACACTAAGAAAAAAAATGGTTCTTTTAAGAACTGTTCACTGAAATGTTCGTTGGGAAACCCAAAACGGCTCTTCTGTGGCGTCACTGCGAAAACCCCCTTTTGGAAACTTTATTTTTAAGAACGTAGTGACTATAATCTGCACACTTCAAACTACATTTTTCTGCTGAAGCTCAGACAGAGAGGCTAGAGGAGAAAGGGAGAAGGACAGAGGAACAGCCAGACTAACTCTATCAAACTGGGTCCCACTCAGAACACAGAAGGCCTACTGCGGCCCACATTCTAAATTTAGAGGCCCTGGTTTTGCTGAGGATCTTTGGAAAATGGGTCTCCATCAGAGCATCTGGACAGTTTGAGTCCACACTGATTGCTGAAGCTGGCTAATTGCGCTTCACAAGGCACGAGAACGAGGATCGGCTGACTCAGGAGTTGTCACGGCCACATGCCCCTTGTTTGAAACACCTGAGCCTACTGTGCGTGGTGGGTTATTCCCTCGAGCCATATTACCAGTTTAAGGACAACAGTTGCAGACTAAAATGGAGTATAATGCTGGGCTACAAAACAAGTGTTAAAATAAGACCGTAAACACTGGATGATTCAGTGAAATCTAGATGCAAATGAAGTGAAGACTTCCTGTTCCTTTCATTTCCAGCCTGGATAATTCACACTAAAACATTGACAGATTTTGCGTCTTACAAAATTAACTCCGCACCTTGTAGCTTCACATGCTCTGCTTTGAAGATGTTTGCACAAGTCACTGCATGCTATTAAAACCAATGTCTTGATGTACATGCAGGTGGGCGAGTTTAAGCCGATAACGTTTCCCTCTCTATCTGTGTTTCTCAGTCCACAGTGCCACCGCCCACTTTCTCCATGCCAGTCACAGTGCCGGTGTCCAGTCAGAGCCCTCTGCCATTCAGCAATCCCAGCAGCCTTGTCACCACTTCCTTCATCACCTCCACTCTCTCAGACCCACGCCTGCTGTCGCCACAGCAACCGCAGCTGCAGAGGAACACGGTGTCTCCTGGCCTGCCACAGAGACCTGCCAGTGCAGGTAAAATCCTGAGCAGATCAATGGCGCTGGGTACCAGTAAGCAAAACAGGAAGGAGGAAATAGTAGCTCATGTTGTGTACATGAGTTTATAATGTTGCCCTGTGGGTGTCGGATTAGCCGGAGCAACTGTTTCAGAGATATACCACTGCTTCATGCATAAAAGTGACTGTCAAACCTTCATCTCCTCTGCTCTGGAGTGCTTACATAGTGTACTGATCAGACCAGAATTTTTTGACCAGAATTGTAATATTGTAATATGCATCCTTACAGCATGTAGTCTTACTTCAGCCAATTCGGTTAAGTTTTCATTTCAGTATGTCAGTATCAGCTAAGCTGTAGCATCTTTTTTACACCTAGTATCAACATCTTGAGGCATACAATTGTAAATGAGGTTCAATGCATCTCATTGTGATTTGATCACTTAAAGCTCCTTTGGAGGTGGTCAGGGACACATGTCACATTTATAGTGTAAACTCTAATGTGTCCTGATGCATCCTTAAAAAACTCGAAGGACTACTGACTCACATAACATGTAATCTCTGCTAGGGTAAGCTTTGAAATAAAACAACTGCTTGATCGAATCATTTAAGAATAGAATAAAAGCTTTATTTCCACAAGACAGGGAAGGTGGACAATGTTATAGGCACAGCCGTGCAACATAAATGAGACAGTGTTTAAAAGTATACTTGAGCAATTGTATCATAGTATGTACAATATATTCACTGCCTTTTGGGGTCAGTATGATTTTTTTTTAATGCTGTGTTCACCAAGATTGCATTTATTTGATCAAAAACACAGTAAAAATTGTGAAATATTATTAGTTTAAAATAACTGTTGCCTATTTTTTAAGATGATTTTTATTCCTGTAATGTCAAAACTGAATTTTCAGCAGCCATTACTCCAGTCATTCTTCAGTGTCCTGATCCTTCAGGAATCATTTTAATATGCTGATTTGGTGTTCAAGAAACATTTCTTTTTATTATTGATTAAAATGGTTTTAATATTTTTGTGGAGAAGTTCAAAAGAACAAAATTGATTTGAAATAGAAATCTTTTGCAACAGTGTAGAGGTCTTTTTTATTATCAGTATTAATTTAAAATAAATTATCAATTTAAAAAAACTTTTGAATGGTAGTGTACACTTATATGCTGTACAAACACTATACATCTTAAATATGATTCATATAAATGCAAAAGACTTCACTGAATGTGCACTTCATTATGACACATTGATGTAAAGTATCTATATAGTCCAGAAATAAGACACCCTCCCTTAAAATTCTGTATCCCATCCCCCAAAAGACACATGTTCAGACCAGGTGTAAACAACAGTCTGTCTTGGCTGACCATCTGTGATCAAATCACCCGAGACTAATGTTATTTCCTTTAGTCCAAAAACTTAATTTTCTGTTCCAGATTTGTTTGGCTTTAGATCTAGATTTAGAGTCTGTACTCTAGACTTGAAATTTCAGCCTTCCTGTAACTATTTTGTCCTTTTTCCAGGTGCTCTTCTGGGAGGTGACCTCAACAATTCAAACGGAGCATGCCCAAGCCCTGTGGGTAAGTCAGCCAGACGGCCCTGATAATGCCTCTTCATTTTCACCTGAATAATGCATCAGTCTGAGTCAAACTGCTTGAAATCGAAGGGCACGCTTTAGACCTGCAGAGTGGAATGAGAGTTTTCAATCTCATCCGATAAGATATGATCTGATCTGACCGTGATTATGAGAATGACAGCAGCTCTATGAAGGTTGTCCGAACATAAAAATCTGAAAGCGGGTGATCAGATCAGACATCCACTGTATGCTCACACACCTGTTTGCTTGTGACAGCTGAAGCTCACACTGTGCTCTCCAAGCATGCCTGTAAACACCCTCATGGGACCATGGGGCACGAGTGACATGAATGTTATGGGTCAACACCACACATGTCATTTTTCCTACTCCGGCCTTCCATTTTCTTAAATTGTCATTAGTTTTTTCTCTTTTCCTCTCCATTTATGTGCCCTTGCATAACTGTCTTCCCCTCTCAGCTGTTTTTCATATCTCACTCGTGACATTCTGAATGCCCAGCTTAAACCAGCACGCTCCGTCCCCTCCCCTCCCACTCTGTCACACTCCCTTCTCTCCTCCCAGCCGATCTTGACAGTCCCTGACAGCTGTAGGTTCTCCTGCCACTGATCTTCAAAGCGCACATGAGTCTCATGGACATTTTAAGTGGGCATTTAAAATGTGAACATTTAATCAGTGAAGAGGCTGTGGAGTCACTGGAAAAACACCTCCCATGGTTTCTTGGGATTGTGTGTATATTCTTTGGCACATTCAATGAATATGCCTTATTTTGGTGTTCCATGCCTTTTTTGATGTTTTTTTTTTTTTGTTATGTGAAGAATTAAATTTAAACCTAAATTTAACCAAGAATTAAATGGTAAAAATTATACAACAATGGCATAATTGTGACATAATCTATTTAATGGATATTAAATTATTAGCCTAGTAAAAAATTTATATTTTTAATTATTTATTATTTTATATAAATAATTAATTTGATATAGAATGAATGATTTTCTTCCCATGCTGCTCTATCCAAACTGCTTTTCTTCATCCGACTCAACTTTGAACAGTGTTATCAAAGTTGGGTGGAAAAATGATCACATTTTTGGGAAATGGATCATTTTTTGTCAGTAATTATCCTTTTTTTTTTTGTCCCAAAATAGTCTGCCCCTTAAGACTAAATTTGCAACCCTTTTACTATATATGTTTGTTAATTTGACTAAATAAATTAATCTGACTAAATACATTAATTTGACGTTCTGCGCTTTTCTTGCTTTCCTGAAGGTAAAGCACCTCCTTCCACTATTTGTTGAGAAAGAAAACGTTTTACTAAAAAAGTTTTAACGTTTTTAAAAAAGTTTTAATAATTTACAGTTTTGTTGCCCGTGGGAAATACTTTTTGTATATGTGGAGTGATTTGTTTTTCCCTAAGAAACTTTCTCAGCTCTTACCAAACTGCTTTTCTCTGTCCATTACCACTCCTTGTGTCTCATTCTCTCTCTCTTGCTGTCCGTTGCCCCTCCCTTCCCTCCATTCTCAGCTGTTGCTCTGGGAATGTCAGCATTGACGTCATGTAGCATTCCTACCATTCCCAAGAGAGAGAGGGACAGAGAGCGAGAGAGACATGGACAGAGACGAAAAGAAAAAGGCAGTCAGACCTTTTGAAGTGGGGATTAATAGAAGCCGGAGCTTACAACCAACACTCACACAAACAGCACACTCACATATACATGCTCATATCCACTATATTTTCCAGCATACTCTCTGACCCAGGTTCATAGAGCATAAACAAGTGTGTTTATACACATGTTTCTGTCTCAGCCCCCCTCTAAAAGCCAGACTGAACTTAAAGCTGTGTTTCCTAGGGCAGAGAACAGCTGAGCATATCTCTTCTCTACTGCCAAGGAATTGCAGCTCCCTTTGCAATCTCTTTCCATTCAGAGCTGCTGACGCGGTTGTTGATCTCACACACACACACACACACACACACGTCTAGCGGAGCAACAAGCAGTTGTTGTTGCCCTGTAACCAGAGCTCAGATAGGATAAAATATCAAACTGCAAATGTCTCTCCAGTCTGAAGCTCTTAAATGATTCATAAACTGAACACCTCTAATTTCGATAGACTAATTTAGTGTATTAAATTAGTTTAGTTTTTAAAGCGTCAGCTTATAGCACAGTTTAAAAGCAGCAGGGGAGACTGGGGTTGGTTGGCAGAGCTTTCACTTTATTCATTATCTTTTGTGTTATAAATATTAAGATGACCCAGCAAGGTAAAAATGAAAGTGTACAATCTTGAGTTAAAAGAAAAAAGTTTAATGTCTAAAAATATTTAAAGAAAAAAATTTTGATCATTCATGACTAAAATTATGTGCCAACATAGGAATAGTTGGCACGGGTTGTGGGTTTTTTGTCTTCTGGCCAACTTTATTTATGAAAAGAGTTGGGTAGGGTATATAAAACCAACCCAACTCTTTTCATAAATATAATGTATATTATTATTGTTATAAAAATAATAAAACAGGCACATATAACACCTTTTCATAAATTTGGCCAAAAAAAATGAGCCAAAACATGATTTCTTACAAGTATCAAAATATAATTGGTTCCCATTTTGATTAACTAACATAGATTGTAATATTTTTTTTTTTAAATATACATTTTTGTTAGATTTTATTTTGTCAGACAGGTTTTAGTCATGATAGGATGTCTTGATAGAATCAGTGACTGTGAATGCAGATGATGTTACACGATGCTACTGTATGTTGCATTGTGACAGCACCCTATTATGACCCATAACTTTACCCTGTGCCATCCAACTCTTGTAGCCAACCAACCCCGTCTCCCCTACAGCAGCATGTTAAAATAGCATTGCTAAAAATATTTGTAGTATAAATATTTTAGATATTTCTGTACAGCTGAGACATCAGTGCGTAGCCATAGCACTAGCAAGTGACGTTCATGTTGTGCTGAGAGAATAGTGTTATTCAGTTCCAGAATGTGGGAAAACATTGGGAAAGTCCCCAGTCTCTCTCTCTCGGCCATGCTCTGAAACACAGATCATAGCATACTCTGCCTTCCTCTGCAAACACTGCCCTTGAGTTTGACTACTTATCTGATTAGATCAAGCATTACATGTGCTACATCGTCATAAACAAAATAGAGCAAAAATATTTCTATAACAAAGCTGGGAAGAAAGTCGAGGAACAGGATGAACTGGTGTCAGTTAGATACCCTGATCCCTTCCCTGTGTGTGTCTGCTTGTGCGTGCATTTCCTCCCTGAAAGGAATGCGGTTCTCCAACCTAAAAACCAGTAAGTATTAATCCTCCAATTACAACATAATAGAGCTGTAATCTAAAAAAAAACAGAGGATTTAGTTTGCAGCACAAAGTGTTAGAAAACACATCTGCCATGGTGAGGGAGACCCTAATAGGATTATTTTCCCTGGTGGGTAATTATTGTGTTTTTCCCATCAATACAAATTATAGAAAACAGAAAATATGATCACGGTCGTGTATCTGAATTTTGTGTCCAAAAAATGCAGTGTTTCTTAGGGTTGATAAGAAAAAAAATCAACCAAGGTCTTTTTTTTGTAAATAAATAGCAGCTCTCTGTTGACATCTTGCTGTCTTTTCCTGGTTCTCTTTCTGTTTCTGTAGCCAATGGTTACGTCAGTGCCAGGGCCTCCCCAGGACTGCTCTCAGTCTCCAACGGAAACAGCCTGGGGAAAGTAGTGCCGGCTAAATCTCCCCCTCCGCCCAGCACTCAGATGGTGAACAGTCGTAAACCGGACCTTCGGGTCATCACCTCCCAGGGCAGCAAGGGTCTCCTGCAGCTGGTGAGCACTTCCACATTACTCTACAGGAGCCTCAATGGGTCAAACATCAAATTTCAAAGCTGTTCCGTGTTACAACATATGAGGGCCAATGTTAGAGATGGGAACAGGTCTAGGCTCTCAGTGTGATGCTACACAGGAATTTCTCACAGGGACCATGAGAGGGGGAAGTAAAGCTGTCAGATACATTGAGCTGATTTATTCACTTCTGTCTGCTCTCAGTATGTGTGTGTGTGTGTTTATGTGTGACCTCATTTACACATGCTCTTAAGATCCATCAAGATTGCTTCGATCACAGATGGGCAGTGCTAAATACAGGTGTAAACGATTTTGAAAAATTGTCACCACAACTAGCATTTTGTAGAGCAGGGCTTGTTTCAAGCAGCTTTAAAAGAAAAAGAAAATAAACTAAAATATTATTTATTTATTAAATTGAATTAAATTAAAATGTTATTTATTTATTTATTAAAAATAAATATCAATGTGAAGTGCATTAAACATCACATTAAATCAGGGTTTCATGAACTGGGGTTCATGAAGGAACTGCAAGGGTTCATGAATTGATGAAAAATTAATACTTAATTAAAATTTTTAAAAATTATACTTTTTAAAATAAAAGCAATAAGAAAAAACTTTCATGTAAAGAGAAATGTAAAAGAGAAAAAAAGGGAAGAATTAGGGAAAATAATAATAAATTTTGAATCTAATCTAATTACAAATCCTTAATTTTTGGAATCTGATTATATAATCCACCATCTATGCAGAATTGTGACTGATTTAAAAAAAAAATTTAGTAGTGAACATGACTATTGAAACAATTAGTTTAAAATTTAAAAAATTATATTAGAGTAACCGTGTTCTCCCATTTTTTCATTTTTTCAAAAAATCAGAATGCAGTATCATACTGATGTAGTAAGTAATATGTGCAGTCATAAAGTCTCAAACTCTTTCCTTCAAAATCTGACCAGAAGTGGTCACTTCATATCAACCGAGACAGAAACCAGGGCTTGTGTGTTGGAGTTGTAATCTTTTTTTTTTTTGTATTTGTTTCTGGCTTCGCAGACAGATGAAGAGCTGGAGTTGGTGAGTGAGGTGAATACAGCTCAATTCTTTTGACTGTTGTGCTGTGAACGGTTTCACAACATTTGACAAATGTTTGATGAACGTTTAATGGATGTTGTGTATTGAACCATTTTTTTCTGCACCTTTTTTATTCACGCCATTATTCACTGATCAAATTGTATTGATTAAAGAGTTTAATTGGTTAAAAATTATTTGTATTTGTTGAAGAATACAGTGTATACAGTGTTTTTCATAAATGATCTAATTGGTGGTCAGTGAATTGGAGTTAAATGTGTGCTGTTTATTCAGTTGCAGGCTGACTGCCTGATTATTGTGTACGGTTTTAAATGAATGCACACACTCAAGGCGAAATGCACATATGCAGGGGTTGATCTCACATGAGTCAGACACACTAGATCAAATGTGGAGCTCAGCGGAGCAGAAGACCTCACTCCAGAGATCAATTTGTCTGTCTGTCTCTCTCCCACCTTCTTTCACTTCTTGATGTATTTTCCTCTAATGATTGTGGTCCAATGACACATTAAGTGTAGTGCATGCACATCTGAGTTTGGGGTGGGAAGGGAGGGTGTTTCAGCCATCTCAGCCTCTGGATCTGTGAGTGCGTGCATGAGCAGGGCAAACCAATGTCCAGTGACTGCTGAATCATGGGAGTCTTTTTGACTAAAAAATTGGCCTCTGTCTCAGTGCCCTTGTAGAACCAAGAAGACTTTCAAAACGCCCAAGGGGTTTAAATGCAAATGTTTGACACTGGTTTGCTCTGCAGACACACTCTACCCAATGTGTGTTTTGTAGTGAAGTGTTTAGATTTTTTTCTGCATGATTGAGAGCTCGGCTCAACAATGAGGATTTTTTTGTGTGGTGAGTTAGTCAGTTTTTAATTGCTCTCTCAACATTTTCAACAGCCCCACCACAAAGAATGATCTTGTTTATTTTTTATTATTATTATATTAATTTTATATATAGTTATTATATTTATTTAATATATTAATTTTATTTTTAGCAACATCTTATATTATGTTTCTTTATATTATGCTATTATATTCTTTAGGAAAATATATTTGTATTTTTTATTTTACGAATTATGATATATTTAATATTTTTCTTTTAATTGTTTTATTTTAAAAGCTACAAATAATGGCATATGATTTAAAATATTATATTTGTTTGATACTTCCAAGAATATTACAAAACAAAATAATATTACCTAAATAATAATAATAGTCTAAATAATATAGTGGCATATTTTAATGAGCAGAATTCACACCAATGTTCAGTACATCATATAAACCAAGAGTACAAATATCAGTTCTGTCACCTGACCCAAAGCGCTTTCATACTTGCCTTCGACCATCCTTATTGTTGAGTTTCAGGACATTGATCTTAATGTTTTCACTCAGTTTAGAGTGTAGAGAGATGTTTAGAGTGACAGTTTGAAGCTGTGGAGCTCACGTTGTTTGTATGGACTTTGTTAGTTATAATGATTGATTATTACTATTATTAGGATTGCATTCAATACTCTAAAATTATCTAAAATGTTTAATCTTCAGAAGTGTCTGAAATTTGAAGATTGCATTCATATGCATACATATACAAATCTTTCAGAGGTGTTCATGTCCATTCTTTCCTTGCCCGGAAAGTGAGCTCATGTACTTCTCTTAAACTTATCTTATCTCTCTCTTTTTTTCTCGTCCTCTGGCTTTCCAGAATGCTCAGCGGTTAGGCAGGCCTCAAGTGGCCCAGCCTCTTACCACACCAGTGGTTTCCGTGGCAACGCCGAGCCTCCTGACTGGATTGCATTCAATACTCTAAAATTATCTCAAATGTTTAATCTTCAGAAGTGTCTGAAATTTGAAGATTGCATTCATATGCATACGTATACAAATCTTTCAGAGGTGTTCATGTCCATTCTTTCCTTGCCCGGAAAGTGAGCTCATGTACTTCTCTTAAACTTATCTTATCTCTCTCTTTTTTTCTCGTCCTCTGGCTTTCCAGAATGCTCAGCGGTTAGGCGCCTCTCAAGTGGCCCAGCCTCTTACCACACCAGTGGTTTCCGTGGCAACGCCGAGCCTCCTGACTCCATTCTCCATGCCAACCGCCTACAACACAGGTGAGAGTGACGTCACTCTGCAGGCCTGCACACATTAGAGACAAATGAATGTGTTCTGCTGCTTTAGTTTACAAGGTTATGGCCCATTTATCTCTTCTACTTGCTTTCTTTTACTTAATATTCTGTTATTCCCCATTTCTCGCCTCTCTTTCGAGGCTAGATTCATCAATAGAGTTTATTTTGAATATGAAAGGAAAAACTACATGAATATAGATGTTATATCATCAGAACTACAGAACTCTGTAAATAAATATGCATAAAATGTTCATCTTTGTTTTCATGCAGAGTACCAGCTAACAAGTGCAGATCTCACAGCCCTCCAGGCCTTTACGCCATCGGGTGCACTGTTGCCAAGCAACATGACCACTTGGCAACAGCAGCAGCAGCCGTCTGTATCCCAGCAACCACAGCAGCAGCCATCCGTATCCCAGCAACAGCCTCAGCAGCAGCAGCAACAACAACCCCAGCAGCTAACTCTGGCCTCCCTCAGTAATCTTGTGTACGTATTATGCCTTTTACAGCCTCTCTGTCTCTTGCTCGCACCTACTCACACATGCACCTGGTTCTTCACTAACCACATGTCCATAGTGTGAGCCCACATGCACCACATCTACTTCCTGTCTACAGTGTAGAGATGACTGTTTTGGTGATATATGCCTCACTAGTCTGAGTGTACCTTTAGCTACATCTAGGTAGATACTGTAAAGTTTATGGGGCAACCCTTTACAATAAGGTTATATATTTTAATAGATTTAATGCAGAAGATAACATGAAATAAAAAATTAAATACTGTTCAGAAGTTTGTGGTAAGATTTATATATATTTTTTAAATATAATTATTCAGCAGTGAGGAATTAAATTGATCAAATGTCACAGTAAAGTCTTTTGGTAAAGAATTTAAACAAAGATATAAATGTTGTTCTTTTGAACTTTCTATTCATCAAAAAAAAAATCCTAAAAAAAAAAAAGTATCAGTTACCATAAAAATATGAAACAGCACTGTTTTCAACAATGTTTAAAAAATGTTTTGAGCATCAAATTAGCTGAATGATTTCTGAAGGATTAAGAGATATTAAATAGAAAACAGTTATTTTAAATTGTAATATATATTTCACAATATTTCTGTTTTACAGTGTTTCTGATTTAATAAAAACAGCTTACCACCTCCAAACTTTTTGTTTACAGTATTTATTAATTAAATGTAAAATATTAATTTTACATATACTAATACATTTCAGGTTTAAGTTCATTTAAATTATCAACTTTAATTAATTGTCAGTTCATGATACCTAATGCATTAACTAATTGCACCTTTTTGTAAAGTGTTACCGTTTAACATTAAGCTAAAATAGATTTTTTTTAGAAGCTGCATTAGCACTAACTAGTGTCCTTCCTAGAAAAATGTTTTGGACGTTATTGCCTAAGTAAGCAGCTCATTCGTTGTTACATTATTAATCTGTGATTTTATTCCCACTGCACATAAATGTAACACTTTAATCTAGTTGCATTTTGTGACTCTGCTTCATCAGCTACTGAAAGAGCATCACAACTACTCTGTGATTCAAAACTATGTTACAGGGACATCTAGATGCCCTGAATATGATGTTTTTATGTTCAGGACGTGAATTTAATGTACAGGGCAGAACAGCTGAAAGCCTGTGCTACCTACATAATAGCCTGGGGCTCAGGTCAAGGGCAGCTGTATGCTACATTATTAGCACGACACATACATCTACTTTGGTGTGATTTTGCTCTTTTTTTTTCAGTTGTATTCAGCTGTATAGCAGGGGTCATGATCTCATATTAGCAATCACATGAACAAGACGTAATGACAGCAGAGGCTAATGATCATCAGTAGCGCACAACCTAAAGCATGCGTATTCTCCCTCAGAGATTGACCTAAATAACTGTCTTTTGGTCTCCCACACAGACGTTTTCCTCTTTTTCTTCCTTTTTTTCTCTCCTCCCCATTGCTCCCCTTGGGGGGCAAACATGGAGGTGTTCTAGTCTGGCTTTAATGCCTGCTAACAGCGGGGTTAGTGCTGTGCTATGCTCTCATTAGCGTGACTGTTCGCTTAGAGGGAGGGGGCACTTCTGTTAATGCTGAGTACAGATTTGCTGATTTCTGGTGCAGGTCTAACCTGCCGTGTGTGTGTGTGTTTGTGTGTCCTCTCTCATTTGTTTACAGCATGTGGGGCTCAGACAAACAGAACGGAGAGATGGCTCACTGCATATCTGGTCTGGCTGCTAATCTCAGGTGAATGGGGCCTTATGGGCGCTTTGTGTCAGCCAGTCAAACCGTGGGCTCTCTGTGTTAGCCAGTCATATTCTGTGGGTGCAGTGTGTCAGCCTATTACGCACCGCTGTCCTGTCTGTCACCTGCCATGGCCTAGTTGTCATGCTTACCGTCTCGGACCGTGCTGAAGAATGTTCGCGCTTTCGTCTTCTCACAGATGACCATCTCATCATCAGAGTTCTCTCTTCGTTAAATCCAAATTTAGCATTTTATATGTGTCTTTTTATATTTTTCTTGTTCATTGTTTACTGTCCAGTGTCCTGTGCGCGACATGAACAGATTTACATAAGAATTCAGTGCTTTTCTAATAAATGTAGCACTTAATGTCCTGATAACTGTGCAGGTAGAGATTAGTACTCGAAAGTAGGACAGACATCTCCATCATGTCCTCCCAAGTGGGTCAGGACTCTCTGGGGTTCATTCGTTCGTCCGTTTGTAACCTGCTGCATGGCCACACGTTCATCACGCCAGCATATCCTGCTCTGAATCACTTCAAGCAACCACATATTATATAAACCAGGCTGTTCAGCACAGCAGTAGGTCAACACTTAGAAAGTTTATCTGCAACTATTTTATGATGATCATTTGATCGACAGCAATGCACAATAATAAACACTATACAGTGTATTATTTTAGTAGCAATATAGTTAAATATTTCACATATTAATTCTTGAGTCTGCTTTTTTTCACATGCCGGTACTAGTATATCCCATTTAATATGATATTTACGCATTATTTGCAGTCACTTTGGTAAGAATGTGTCTGCTGAAGAACCTGTATTTAATGTAATGTAATTTGATTTGTGGTTTTACTGCAGAAATTTTCATAAATAATTGACCCTTCACTAAGCCTTGCCTTGAATATGTTACCAATTCTACAATAGCAATTGCTGCATTTCACCATATTATTACACCAAAAATAAAATTGGGTGTACAAACAGGTTTCACCCCAAAATTGCTAATAAATTTCACAAAGTTACAAAGAAATGGTAACAAATTAAATTTAATGTGAAATTTTGAAGTAGAAAAACAGAAATAGTATTTTCTTGTAAAACCTTATCTTTGTTTTATGTACACGTGAACAATCTTTTTTTTTTTTTTTTTTTTAAGTGTAGTTAAGACTCTTTTCTAATGTCAATCTATGATCTGTGTTTTGATAGTTTCAAACAGAATTGTAATGAAATTATCCAATAATATAGTAAAACATTGTTTCCAGGGCACATTTAGTGGTGATACAAGTTATCCAGAGAGGATACAGGTGGTATTTGTTTACCAAAGTAAAAAAAAAAAAAAACCTTGATGCTGTGGATTCCCAAATGAACATGAAAACATCAGTAGCTCATTTAAACATAAGTATTTAATTAATTTGCATGTTGAGTCAGGTCATAGTACAAGCGATGAAAGTTTCACTGCACAGTTCATTCTTATGGGACATTCTCTAAAGCTTCTCTAAGTGAACAACTGTAACCAAGGGGTGAACAGCCTAGCAAAAGATCAATGTAGCTTTTCTGTCACTAGCTGTTTCCTTATTATATATGACAAGCAATATTTTGCAATGAAAATATTTTGTTTTGTCCTGCCTTTTCCCTCTATAAGTCAACTTTAATTTTTCTGTGAATTTAACTAATTTCTTTCACTGACCTCAAGAGGACGTACGAGTAGTTTTAATATCATCCCATAATTTGCGGCTTCTCCACTCTCAGTTCAAAGAAGAAAATATTATTCCAGATATGCTGTAGGTATTAGGTTTAGCAGGACTGATACAGTATTTTCATGTCTTCAGTACAGCCACGAGCAGATTTCATTGATCAGTAATGCAGAAACCTTACACCACTTTATCAGAGCTTCCCATTCTCCTGGCAGCAGCTGCTGTGTTCTTTGCAAATATACAGTGAATTCCAAATGAATTTCTCTCTCATTATGCCTGAGGAACCCGTCATTACGTACGTCCCACTGTGGCCCTGACTCCCTGTTCCTTCTAATATAAATGCTAATGGAGCCACGAGAGCTCCCTGCCGCTCTGCCACCCTGTCTTCTGTTTTCATGTCATCAAATAATTTTCCCTTGCGCCATGACTTCGGCGGCCAGGCCTCTCCTGCCCAGACTGGGGTGAAGACTTACTCTTTCCGCTATGCATGACAGTGGGATATGTATTTCTGTTTTTGGAAGTAAGCATTCAGTTGGGTTTCTTTCTCCTGCTGAGCAGTCCATGTTAACTGTGCGTAGACACCTGTCTGTCCCTCAACTGTTGTAGATGAGTAAATGCTGTGATGTACGGGTGTGTTTGTCACATGATATTGATTATTGTAGATGCTAGAGTTGGTTTCGCCTGTCTCTTTCTCTGCAGTGTGACATCTCAGGGCAGCTTACTCTTGGGCAGGGAGGAAGGGATCAGCTGGTATTGTATCTGGCTTTTCCTCTCTCCGTCTCTCTCTGTTTGTCTGTCTTGTGGCCGTTTTCTATGCGCTAATGGCACTAACTCTCCCGCTCTCTCTCTTTGTTTTCTCTCTCTATCAGTCTCTGGCTGCTTGGCTGTAGGAAGCTGGGCTTTGTCTTTGTCAGTGATTTGCTGAGTTGGCCTTTTCTTTCTGTTTTGCATTAGAACATACTGAAACAGCACCTGCACCTTAATCAATCAACCTGTACAGGTCCACAAGACCAAACTCTCCATGCTTTACTACCCACTCACCCTCTCACTGTGCCATCTCTCTTTCCCTTAGTTCACTTACATTCTTTAATTTTGTAATTTTTTTTGTCTTCCTCTTCATTTCCTTTTGTTTGCTTTTACATTTTTTCCTTTCTCTTCCTCTGCCATTCCCTTTCAGTTTTTTCTTTTTCATTTTCTTTCCTCTTCCATATTCCTTTCTTTTATTTCTTCTGATTTTCTTTTTCCTTTGTTTCCCTTTACTTTACTTTTTGTTTCCTTTATTTCCTTTCTTTTCGCTTTACATTTCATTTAACATACATAAGTTTCTTTTCTTTTTTCCTGTTCCCCTTTTTCTTTTCTTTTCTCTTATCTTCTTTCCTTTCGTTTTCCATTTTTTCCATTTCTGTTTCTTTTACTTTCTTCGTTGCTTTTCCTCATCCATGTCCTTTCCTCTTCCTCTCATTTTTTCTTTTCAGTTTTTTTCCTTTATCATTTCTGCCATTTCTTTTATTTTTCCTTGCCCGTTTCTTTTCCTTTCATTTTACTTTTCAGTTCCTTTACTTTTTTCTGTTTCCTTTTTCTTTCCACTTCCTTTCCTCTTCTCTTCTCTTCTCTTCTCTTCTCTTCTCTTCTCTTCCAGGAATAGTTTAGTCTAATCCCATCATCCTTCCACTTCCTTTCCTCTTCTCTTCTCTTCTCTTCTCTTCTCTTCTCCACAGGAAAACCACAGGAATAGTTTAGTCTAATCCCATCATCAATAATACACTAAATACAGTGTGTTAGGCTGCTGTCTAATTACACTGGCACATAAACAAACACACTCACTGCAGTTAAGGGTATGTGGCATGTTTTGTGAAAAGAGGCTGATCAAGTCGTGACTGCATGGCTAGCAGGAGTTAAGGGACAGAGATAATTTGTCTGGCTTCTGTGCATCTTATAGCTGCTTTGTTGTACTATTATTGTTTGTATGCTGAAATGTGGCTGTTCAGAGGTAGTGCAAAACACGGTAAAGCTGTGGGTAACATTGCTGTTTGTCCACATGTATGTTTGTCAAATTTCAAATGTATATTATTGCAATGCATCAAGTGTCATCTTATTAATAGCAATATCCATGATGTTAATTATTCTTCTCCTTCTCCTTCTACCGTAGGCCCTTGGGAACGATCCCTCATGGAGCTACTCTGACGGTTAACACTAACCCCAATGTCAGCATCAAATCCGAGCCAGTGTCTCCTAACCGGGATCGCAGCACCCCTTGTTCCACCGCCGGGGCAGTGGGTGGCATATCAGGCCTAACTGTGACCCAGTATCCAGTGAATCTGCGTTTGGAGCCCACCGGCCGCTCTCCGGTCGACAGCATCAGCAGTAATGGCAGCTCTTACGAGGGAAGCGACCGAGACGACGGAGGGCAGCCGCGCCATCCTGATTTCAACTCCGCCAGCCTGGGTCTCCTCCGAGCTTCTGGAGAGCAACCGGCTCAAGCAGAGCAGCAGGAGTCAGCCAGCGTGAAACGCATGAGACTGGACACCTGGGTCACATAAACGCTGAAAGAGAAAGCGAGAGAGCTGCTCTCTCACCCGCACATACACACACACCGACACAAACACACCCCTAGTGGCACCTGCTTTCGGCAGCCAATCTCAGTCCGCACTTAGACACATGCATGCGCCTGTCTCTCTGTCTATCTCTCTCTTCCTGTCTCTCTCACTCTTGTCTCACTCTCAGACACACTCATATTTACTGGTGTGTGTGTATATATTTATATCAAATATGCATATATGATCACACGCACTAGATCCTCACACACACAGTTGCCAATCCAGGTGTAAACGTGTTCACGTATACGAGACTGAAGAGATGTACCAGGCGGAAGGTCATTTGGCTACGTCTCTGATATCCCGCCCTTGCTCAGAGAGGCCATCTGGATCTCAGATCAACTTTTGCAGGCCTTACCATTGACCCAAACAGAGTTCAGCGGCACTGCTCTGTCGAAACAGCATAACAACAGCTTATGTTGCATAGACAAGCCTGTCAATCTCTTTTTTTGTATTGATTTCTCTTTTGTTTTGTTTTTGTATGAATGGTTAAATTTGCCATTTATCTTCTCGATTGACTCTTCCTCACTTGCTTTTCCTCTTTTCTTTTTCAGCTCTTGAGCAGCTGCCTATAGAATCGCCCCCGTTCCTTTTGTAACAACTTTAAAGTATGATCTTTATCTTTGTTTTTCTAACTGTGCAAAAACTACGCATAGTGTGCGTGTGTGTGTGTCAGCCGTGAGACGGAGGTGCTCATTCATTCGATCGCTAAACACAATTCAGCCAAAAAAAAACTCCACTCGACTCGATCATGTTTGTTTTCCATCTTTCGTCGAATCGTAATCTCGCACCAGTCCCCTCGGTTGCACACTCCTATGCGTGTGTCTATCGGCAGAGCTCGAAGCACAAATGCCGCTCCGCATCCTCGATTTTCTGCGTACGCGCGGACTGTAAATGTGGTGTCGTTGATGGAAATGTAGATCTATCTGTACTAATGAGATCCAGGCGTGCAGGAAACACACTGATGTGTTCGTATCAGCCTGCAGTGTAACTGTGAGCAGCGGTCTAGCTCTGCCACATTATGCTATATTTATTGTTTTCGTCAGGCTGTGTAATTCAAAGATTAATTAGTTAACTTTATGGGATGAGTATGCTTAATTATTGTTTGTAAGATTCCAGGAATAAGTTAAAAGTGGTCAAAAAAAAGTCTGGATGGCGAGTTTTTAGATGTTTGAGATCATGTATATACAAAATTTATCAGTGTTTCAGAACAGGTTTATAGGGAAAGAGTTGGTGGCAAACACACATCTCAGCTAGCTCATTTTAGCTAAGAAAGAGATGGAGGATCGTGTAGCGCTGTGTGTGTGTGTGTGAGAAGCGTTGAGATTGTATAGCGATGTATGTTCACATATATTCTGCTGGGTCTTTCTGAAACAGCGCTGTAATCTCAGTGGAACCGTCTCCTTCAACCTCTACCTGTAAATAAACTGTACCGTGTTGTAAGTTAGCAAGGTGGAGAGGCAGATGAAGGAGGATTTGACTGTTTTTAAGCGTGACTCTTTTCTGTCCTTTTTATCCTGATGGCACGCACTTTAAAATCTTTCCCCCTTGCCCGCTCGCACACCTTCAGACACACTCGTGAGGGATTTATGCGTCCTCGCATTATCATTTTCACGATCAGTCCACTATCCGTCATTTTTACACCTCCATTTCCCCCAACAGGAATTTTCTAGAGCGATTTCCCTGACAGCTTCGAAGGGAATACAGCCTCCTTTCACCTATAAGACATTTAAAGCATTCAGGGAAGGACGTTTGTTTTTTTGTTTTGTGAGATCATGGCTTATTGCACTTCACATGTTTAACCGTGAACAATAATAGAAGAAATAGGCTATGTCACGTTTTGTAAAAAGAAAAGAAAAAAAGGCAACAAAGAAAAAAGAATGTTGTACTGAAATCTAGATTAGGTTTACACGTGTTGCAGATGTGACAATTATGTACACAAATCGTTTTCTGTGCATTAGTGTATTCTCTTAAGTGACAAAGATGAAGAATGTTTCCGTGACGATTTTGAAAAATGACGAGATTAAGTGAAGACAGCGTTAGGGAAGGGAAATAGGGTTCAAAATTATTTCAAATATGGCATAGGCTATTCTCCTCTCAAAAGATGAGTTTTGAGTGTTAGTATATTTATATTCAAGGTGAGACTCACCTGTCCGTCATCGGCTTCTCTACCTCTCCCTTCATCCTCTCGTATCTTCTCTTTCTCTCGTTTTTTCCCACTCCTTCACTCACAGAGGAAGACAGAAGCCATTTAATTTCACCTCAACAGGTGACCCACCTTTTGTTAAACCAGATTACACACACACACACACGCACACATGATGTATGCAGTGCCGGGAGAGTAAGCGTTTGTTTGGACTCATCACAGACCTGTGTTCGTATCCCATCGACTGAGGTTCTAGAGCTACTGGGCGGATGATTTCTAGAACTGTATCATAGCAGAGTGAGGCCTCTGCAGCGCACCCGCTGACTTAAAGACTGTTGTGTCCTGAGCTTTGAACAAATGCAGTGGTTTCTATGTACGTTTATAAGATGACGGCCTGATACTCGAGGCCGGTGACTGTAAAGCGATGCGCCTGGGATGGTCCGGTGCCTCGAAGCCCTGGCTATGTTGATTTTTAGGCTAAGACAACGTTCGAAAAGCTCTCGCAAGGACCTCATGATAAAATTAGGAATCCGAGTAATCAAAGAAAAGACAATCGTCCGGTGAATAGTTCACTTTTGCCCCCGTATTCCCTTTGTATGATGTCTCGAGATTCTCACATACTTTTTCTCGTGTTAATTTGTGCTGGTGACAGTTTTATTGTCTGTTTTTATTATAATTGTTATGATGATTATCATTGCCATTATGGTTATCGTCACAGATGGTAATAATAATGATAAATTTAGAGACGGTTTTTATTTTTTGCTTTTTTGTGTAGGTTAGGCATCCTATTTTATTTTAATTTGATTTTATTTTATTATATATGAATATTATATAAATATATTTTCATTTAAATTTTTAATTTCTTCAAAGGGGTGTTACTAATATTGCACGATTTATTAAGTAAAACAAAACCGTTGTAGTAATATTAGTACTTATTGCTAATTGAGGGAAGCGATAAAACAGGTTCAATAGAATGACCAGTTCAATGCTGCAATTTTTAGTCAACTGTACAATAGTATCTACACATAGTTAAGGTGGGACATCCACACATTTAATTTATTCTGATCAGACACAATGCATGGGCATCAGACAAGCAAAGAATGAGTCATATTATAAATAAACTGAAATGTAATTTCGATAAGAATATACAACACAAAACTAGAATAGAAATCGAAGAAAAAAGTTTAAATGAAGAAAAATTATAGCTAATATATTGTGTTCGGCTAGTCTGCTTTGAGTTTTGTTGTAAAAAAAAAAAAAAAAAAAAAAAAAAAAAATATAAAAATTCTGTTGTTTTCGGAGAATGATATACAATTTGTGTATATTTTCATAAACAAAGTATGCACTGAATATGTTATTACAAATTCTATACTGCTTTTACAAAAGAGTGTTTGTTATTGTACCAAAGTATCCATTGTCCTTTATGACCCTCCCCTTTTGCGTATGTTTTATTGTATTTTATATATTAAATAGACAAGTTGACCTACACAGAATTGTGAGTCTGTCTTTTACAAGTTTCTATGTGGATGAAACGGGTTGGTTTGTCTTGTTGTCTGTTCACTCATTAGATTTATATTTACATATTTAACAGACGCTTTTATCTAAAGTGACTTACAAATGTAGAAAAACAAGTAATCATTTTTATCATAAAGTACCAAGAAAGCAAGCAGAGATGTCTTTCAAACAATAAAAAGTCTTACAAAATCCTAAAAGTAAATACTCAAATTTTGATTCTGGTAAGATTATTTTAATGTTTTTCAGAAGTCTCTTATGTGCACCAAGGCTGCATTTAACTGACCAAAAACACAGTAAAACTAATATTTAGTAATATTGCGAAGTATTATTACAATTAAAATATTTATTTTAATTGTAAAATATTTAATAGCCTACATATATTTAATATATTTAAAATCTTCAGTGTCACATGATGAATGTTGATAACAGTTGTGCTGCTTAATATTTAATTTTTCTCACGATACAAACCTCAAATAATTTTTTGTAACATAAATGTCATATATATATCCTGGCTTTTTGAAACTTTAGGGCACAGTTATGGCCTTTTCTTTTACAATGTCTTATTTAAACTGTGCTGCATTTCCCTTTAAGGCATTTTCATATCCGGCCACTAGATGTCAGCCTTTCACTTCACATCAACATGCTACTAAAATTCGAAGTTTTAAACCACTGTTTTTGTCCCCTTCCCCTCATCAAATCAGTTTTCTAATATACCTAGTTTTATAATATACCTACATGCTTTCATTCAGAGGAAATGCAGGTCTCCGGGTTCGTTTTATCCCAAGTTTATTTTAACCCAAATTTAGATAGACTACTTTGAGATAAAACTTTGGGTTTGAGCTAATTATGTAAGAATGTGTTTCCCCTTATAGAGACACTGGGTTTGTCGTTGGAAATAAAAAACAAATAATTAATCAACAGATCACAGTGACTCGACATGCCATGACCTTGAGTGTGCGCGTGTCTTTTGGTGGTGTTGGCATTGAATTCAGACCCTTCCTCAATGACATTCTGTTCATCTAAGCACAGCGTCAGCTGAGTTTGTCAGTTGTGGCATCTGGTGCAACCATTGTGCTTCTGTTTGTAACAGGTCCCCACTTATTTGATGACAAATCAACCTATTTTTCCTAATGCACTCGGACACACAAACCATTTCATCCCACAGAACACCTCCGTCATCCATAACAAAGTAAATGTCAATTTATGTATTGACTGACAGAGTAATTGTGTTCTAAAATAGTTTTATTGTATTATTTCTCTAATAGTTGTGCTAAGATTGATTCAGCTCTCCGGCAGGCTACTGTTTGTCTGAGGACTGAGAGTATGAAACAAGCAAACAAATGCGCATTGCTTAAACAGACCTACAATTAGTCATCAAAAGAGACAAATTTGTATGCATACAGCACAGCTTGCCAAATCAATATGAAATCTCGCAATGCAATGAGATATCATTGTAAAATATCCAAAATCATTCCTCAGATGTTCGATCAATATCTTGGTCTTTATGGTCAGCTGGTATTCTCTTCCCTCAGGCAGTGGGATAAATTACAATGCGTTATATGTTTTCTAGCTTTTAATTTAAAAAAAAAATGCTACCAGCTTAAAGTTTCAATTCAATTTGCTTTTCTAATATAATTTTTAACTAATTATTTTTTCATTTAAATTGTATGTTTATAAAGGCCATTGGTTTACCCTTATACATTTATTATATGGATAAGAAAATATTCAAATCGCAATTTTGAAAATTTGAACGGGTACATTTGTAATAATTTTGCTAGCTCTAAACTCAAAGTTGTAAATAAAATAAGTAAATTGAAGTATGTTTTACAAGAAAATACTACTTCAGTCTTTATTCTTTCAAATTTCATGTTTCATTCAATGTATTGCCTGTGTTACTTGTAATTATTTGTGAGATTTACAAGCAATTTTTAAATGAAAATTGTTTCATTACCAAATTACTTCCAACATTAAAAATGGCAATTTATTAAAAACATTTCCTTATTTTTTTTTCTTAAAGTTTTTCTTTCCCCAATCAGAATGTTGTCTAGCTGTAACTGGTAA